GCCTTGCTTGTTTTTCGATTCGAAGAAGTCACAAAACGATTGCCCCCACAAGGTCTGCTGTGCTCAGCTCACCATCACAGTCCCCGAACCATTTTAACACATTCGAGGCCGCCTGTACTTCTATACTATTTCGCTGCGGACGGTTGGGCGTGTCAGTGCGGCAGCGTTTGGCGCGGTGCCAAACTCGTTCTACACCAGTTGTTGAAGCGGGCAAGTGACAATACTGTATCATATCCTTCGTATTACTCGTTTTCTACCACTTTTTGTCGCATGCGCTCTTCAACAAGAAGGCAGAGAACGGCTCTGATAGGGTGACACACTCATACTGGCTGACACGCCCAACCGTCCGCAGAGAACTAGAGTGTATATGCGGGGAAAACCGTTCTTTGCGCCCGTTCGTACAGTTGACGCATCAGTACAAAGAGTATAGAGTAAAAATACGCCAAAAACAACAACGGACGGGAGTTCTAGGCGAAATGGCTTCCGCCGCGGATGTGCAGAAGACCTGCATTTAGCTTTACGAGCGGTTTCCTTTTAAAAGTAGCGGTGCTGTCCAGGCTTGTTCAGTGTGATAACCGTTGAGGGGGAGACGACGTGACATTGTTGTCACAAAACACGCTACAGCGCGTTCACACTTCGCGATCGCGCAGATCGTGCGGTCCGATCGGGTCGCACGAAGCTACAGCAAATTCATCTAGCCACTGTGCTAAAACGTGTTAACTCAATAAAAGGTTATCTAGATAGGTCGACACATCAATGAGAAGCAAAATGCCCCTCCCCCTCGTCGCCGAACTGCGCTCCACTGCCAAATGGTGAACCGCCGCAACGGCAGAATTCAAACTGTGCCGCGATCACGCAACGCCAATTTGAACTGTGCCACTGCGGCGGTGCACTGCTTACCAGTGGAAGCTCCGGTCAAGATCGATCGGCTGGATCGCGCAATCCAGACGAGCGATCCAATCGCGCGATCGCGAAGTATGAACGCGCTCTTAATGACGTGTCAGCTCTTGACAAGTAATGGAACTATGCTACACTTGCGTCGAAATGACCCGCTATGACGTCAAAGAACATGGAACGTCACAACTAACCGTCTTCCATCAAGGTATCAGGACAGAGTTAGTGGATCAAAAGAGGGACCGCTACGAGCAGTGCGAGTTAGTTAAATGACGGATGGATGCAGACCGTATGTTATCAGGCTTCACAAAAGCGTGATAGATGCGGAGTTCATTCGACTACCACATAAACAAATAGCGGTAATGATCATAAAGTCGGTGAGAATGAGCCAACATGGTCGCGCTATTCATTAAACCTTCTACGTCTTTTTCCGCTCTCACCTGCGCTTCTTGCGCATCTTTTGATGCTGAGGTAGCCGAGGTCTTGTATCCGCTAAAGCACTAGCCTTTCTTGACTGAAACATGACCCAAAGCCAAGAATCTTGCTATAAGATTTAGTAACAATGTAGAATTCTACCCCCCACTGATTACATAGGCTCAATAAAATAGCCATTCTCACTTTCATCACTGACTGAGACCGATGTGGATCTGGAATTCGAAGCAGATCTTCCATGACGACGTCTTCTCACATGACTTGGACGCCTTGGCGTTACAGCTGCACGCCCTGCACCTTCACGATCCGTAGTTTTGTTGGTGCTCTCTGCTTTCGCCGTATTAACGGAGGGAGGACCGTCGTTTTTGGGTGGACTTGAAGACATGACCAGAAAACTGAAAATGAGGTAGCTGCGCATGTAGTTCCTATACCAAAACAGGAAACGGGCTTGGCTATATTTCAATTGAATTCCGAAAAAAGCTGCCATTCAGTAGTAGACTAGTAGTGACAATGATAAAAAAACCGTACTCACCTTGGTGCTTTCTAACAGATATGCCCACTTCGAACAAATCAACCGCACAGTGAAAGCGCAACAACAACTATAGTAACACCATAACACAGATATGTTGTGAAAGACCGCGAAAGGAACTCATAATTGTAAAATGAAGAGGTTGAGATCGTAATAAACGGTGTTTAATGTGCATCCGAACATAACAGAATCTCCGCTCATTCTTCGCATGACTGGTACACTCAACAGCGGTACCTCATTTTGAGACAGCATGAAAGTTGTACCTGATGGTATCGACCGATTTTAACATGGGAATGTCGCCGAATGAGACCATCTGTGGGCATTACATCAGCGCAAAGCAACTTCAGTAAAGTGGACTTTCCTGCTCCATTTGGACCAACCAAAGCTACACGAGTATCGAGATCAATA